GACTTTTTTGACAGCTGCCTTCATTTTTCCTGTAAATCACTCCACTGCTGGATAGGGTTTTGTCATTCTGGTGGCGTTTTCATCTCTTTCCTTTTATAATTGCATTCATGTTAACTTCTAACCTGCAGTAGCGTCTGTTCCTACAAGAGTTTGCCCATGTGCTGGGATCATTGTTAGATGGCCTGGCCACTCTGGGGTTCCATCATTTCAAGGATACCAGGAACAGCTTAATAGCTAATGTAAAAGGTCCTTCTTAATGCCCAGGCCATCTTCATTAAAAATGGCACCAAATGATCTTTAATTTTTTTAAAAAATTGCTCTTTTAATTTCACAATTTTTTGTGGATTTTATTCTCTGATTTATATATGTGTTGTAATAAAACCAAAATAGAAAACATACCGAATCAAATAAATAAAAAGCAAATAAGACATGCAGACACATAAACCAGGCTTTTATCCATAGCAGAGAAGACCTTTTATTCTGCTTTTTAAGTTTTTTGTGTTCGCTCTTTTTGCCAAGATTACAACGAATCGAAAAAAGAATTCAACATTTTATTTATTGATATTTATAGTTTAATTTCTTTCTAGAATCCAAGATGTCTTATATTTATAATGTGCACAATATAAAAAGCTTTCCTCTCATAATGCTAGGAGGAGTACCAAAATAGCTCTTGTAGTAGAGACTTTTCCTGAAACCCAGAGAAGAGCTGGCATGTCTTCTTGGATCAAACCAAGGTCCATCTAATCCGACATCCTGTTTCCAACAGCTGCAAGCCAGATGCCTCCAGGAAGCCCACAAACAACTTATGAAGGCATGAAGTTTTGCTCTGTTGGTGGTCCCCCCATCTGTTGGTTTTCAGAGGTATATTGCCTCTAAACATGGAGGCTTCATTTAGCTAACCCAAAATCTCTCTAGGTCTGCCTTCTGTCTCCAGTGGCATTAGTTGGTGGATTAGTTATTTTCTAGACAGGGCCCAGAGGCAATATTCATTCTATTATTTCTTCCATTCATACAATGCTTAGAAGTAAATTGTTTCCAAAATGTAAGCTGTCTTGTTGGAAAATAATATATTTTGAGGTTTTGCAACTGAAATGTTAATTTTACATTAATTTCACCTTCCTTTGCCTATTGCAGTCCACGATTTGTTCTGATCCCCCCTTGGTTACAAGGCTGAAACGAGTCATAAACTTTGATTTTCCTAACGACAACCCTACAAGGTTGCCTTATTAGGACTGCATCAAAAAGCAAAAAAGAGGGGACAATGATTATCAAGAAAGCAGCACCTATTATCTACTATTTACTGAACAAAAGTCAGATGTTTCATGTCTTATCTATATCAGCTGAAAATACTTTATAGCAATATAAAAACAATAACACAAAATCAAAGCCAATCCATTAAAAGAAGGCAAATATTAAGCAAATTAATCGTGAAGGAAGGTGAGTGACATTGTAAGAACAAGATGGGATGGAGTATTGCTGTGAGAGATATTGGCTGCATTCACACAACATGCTTATCCCATTTTCCAGGTGCACACAATACATTAACAATAAACCAATCCAAGAAGTTGAATTTGTATTGAGCCCACAAAAAAGCCTAACCAAAGTTAACATTTAGCATGTTGTATGAATGCATCAGCTAGATTTTAGCTATGCTGGGTAAATCTGTGGTGTAAACATCCCATTAGAACTGAAGTTTTTGTACAGATAGTCCTCAACTTGCAACCATAATAGAGCCTGCACATTATAATTGTAAGTCGTAACAATCATAAAATGGGCTTTCCACCTGACTCACCCATTTTTATGATTTTTCTTTGCAAGGATAGTTAAGAGAACAATGCAATCATTAAGAAAACGCCAAATCAATTGTTCGATTGGGTCAGTTTTGCTCAAAACCAAATGCCAATTTTTGGCAAAAATATCAAAAATGCAGTCGTGACCGCGGAACGCTGCAAATGGCCAGAAATGTGGACCAGCTGCCAAGCACGCGAAATGCGGCCATGTGACCAGATGTTGAAACTTCAGAACTGGGCCCTATGTAACCCCAGAGAGATCCATTGTAACTTTGAATGGTTGCTAAGTTACGCTGAGGACTACCTGTAACAGGACTGCCCTTAATACTGGGGATGCATTCAAGATGGCGGAGTTCTGACGCAAAATGGATGAACTATCTTTATGAAGGCAGGAGGGCAGATTCTCTTTTCCTTTTTTCCCACTTTTGGAGAAAGAGAAATATCTTTCTTTGAACAACTGTATTAATCCTGTGCACTTCAGCTTTACTATGTTTCCTATCTAGAAATGGCAAGGAAATATGCCACCCTATCTTCAAGAGGTTCCAACAGGGTCCACATATAAAATGGGCAGAAAGCTGGATTGCAATGGTAAGCTCACCATCTTGACCCTTTTGACCACGCCCTACAGACACCCTTGCTCTCCAGGGACCACAGACAAAGGTGCCTGCCCCCTCCATATGGGCTAGGAAAGGGGTAAGGAAAAGTTGGCCAAGCTTTCTTTTTACCATCCATCTTAGGGCTCCCAAAACTATGGAATCGGTTCTACCAGCTACCAAATAAACCAGTATTCTTGGTTGAGTTTGCACACATAACAGAAAAACAGAATTGGAAGGCACCTTGGAGAGTCCAACCCTCTGCTCGAGCAGGAGACTCTATACTCTATACTATTTTCAACAAATGGTTATCTGATCCCTTCTTAAAAGCCTCCAATGTTGGAGCACACAAAACTTCTGAAGGCAAGTTGTTCCACTGCTTGATTGTTCTTATCATCAGGAAGTTTCTCCTTAGTTCTAGGTTGCTTCTTTGTTCAGTTTCCATCCATTGCTTTTTGTCTTGCCTTCTGGTGCTTTGGAAAATAGGGTGACTCCCTCTTCTTTGTGGCAGCTCTTCAAATATTGGAACACTGCTATCATGTCACCCCTAGTTCTTCTTTTAATTAGACTAGACAAACCCAATTCCTGCAGCTGTTCTTCATATGTTTTAGCCTTCAGCCCCCCAATCATCTTTGCACTCTTTTCTGTGCTCTTTCCAGAATCTCAACATCCTTTTTATATTGTGGTGACCAAAATTGGATGAGTATTCCAAGTGTGGTCTTACCAAAGAATTATAAAGGCATTATAAAAACCATCCAAGCTTGGGATGTTATATGGATGTTGCCCTTAGGTCTAGTTGATGTGATTTAGTAGTCTTGTGGGAACAGGTGATGAGAAAGCCTTAAACTGAACCTGCATTTATGAAGAGAAGTTTAAGAGGACTGGTCAAGTTCAGCCTGGCTGTCTCTAGATTGGTAAATGGGAGGCCATGTCCCCACTGTTGAAATCACTAGGGGAATGGGTCTGAAAAGAAGATAGAGGACTTGACTTAAATCTTAAAGCAGAGGTCCTCAACCTTTGGGACACCAGAGACTGGTTCCATGGAGAGAGGTTTTTCCATGGACCGGAAAGTCCATGGAAAAGGTTTTGTGTGATGCCTACATCTCATGGATGAGGCTTTGCTTGTTTGTGCGGACCGGTTGCTGGCATGCTGCAGCCCGGTACTGGTCCATGGAATGGGGATTGGGGACCCCTGTCCTAAAGCATAGGAACATGAGTTCCTTCTAATGATCTTTTTGGAGGAGTAGGAATTGTTGGACTGTTAAAGGTGAGGCACCCCTGCTCATTTTTATGCTCAGCCTATAGAAAGGTGCAAGTAAAGCTGGAAAGCTTCTCATAACATGTTGAACTGAGGTAATGCAATCCCCTTTTAGCCTATTTTTGTACCGAATGCAAACCAGATTTTACATTCTAGGACAGGGATCCCCAACCTGTGGGCTGTGGCCCGGTAGTAGGCCATAGCCTCCTGGCCACCAGGCCGTGGGACAAGCTAGCCCGTGTGCACACACACCGCCTTACTTGTGCTAGCACTGCAGCCACAGGGTGCAAAAACCCACTGCCGCACCTCAGCTGTGAAAATGGGACACTGATGCCGTGCCTTGACTGTGAAAATGGGTCGCTGCCACACTGCAAGGCGCAAAAACGGCCACTGCCATGTCACGTGGCACAGAAACAAGGTGCTGCACCACATAAGAACAAGGCAGGGCTAGTGAGTATCACCCCATTTGTGGCACGCACATACTCACAGCCCCATGCATGTGCGCGCTTGGACGCTTGTAAAATGCTTCCCCCTCCCTTTTCCTCTGGTCTGCCAACCGACAAAGGTTGCTGACCTCTGTTCTAGAAAATAGGGTTATTGTACCTGGCCTGCAACAATCCAGATGACCACCCTGAAGCATCAAAAAGATACACAAAATATTGATTCTTTTACTCTCGTTAGGTGGCTAGTGGCTGTTTAGAATTGTATAGCCTACCTATGGTAGCTTGACAGAAATGCTATCAGTCTGTAGCTTCTCAGGGCATACCCTATGCTTGTGTTAAAATGCAGCCCACCAAATAAAATCTGGGGTAGAAACAGTGTTTCACATATTATGCCAGCACAAGACATTTTATGTGGGTAGTCTAGAGTACATTGAGGAGGTGACTTGAGATTGCAGGTAGTCCTTGATTTAGGACCACAACTACTGTCAAATCTTGGGTGAGAAACTCCTTCCCTCAGCCAGGGCATTGAAGATGGGTTGTGGATGGATATTCCACCATGGCAATGACCCAAAACACACAGCCAAGGCAACAATGGAGTGGCTCAAGAAGAAGCACATTAAGGACCTGGAGTGGCCTAGCCAGTCTCCAGACGTTAATCCCATAGAAAATCTGTGGAGGGAGCTGAAGGTTTTGCCAAACGTCAGCCTTGAAACCTTAATGACTTGGAGAGGATCTGCAAAGAGGAGTGGGACAAAATCCTTCCTGAGATGTATGCAAACCTCATGGTCAACTACAAGAAACATCTAACCTCTGTGATTGCAAAAAAAGGGTTTTGCCACAAGTACTAAGTCATGTTTTACAAACGGGTCAAATACATATTTCACTCATTAAAATACAAATCAATTTATAATTTTTCTGAAATGTGTTTTTCTCAACTTTTTTGTTGTTATTCTGTCTCTCACTGTTAAAATAAACCTACCATTAAAATTACAGACTGATCATTTCTTTGTCAGTGGGCAAACATACAAAATCAGCAGGGGACCAAATACTTTCACCCCCTCACTGTATTCCTTTAGCATCTTACCATCACTTACTGTTTGTATCTTATAATTTATGCTGATTGCTTTTATTTAGTATCTTACGACAATCACTGAGTGTTGTATCTTATGATTTATGATGGTTGTATTATGATTATGATCACATGTTGCTCGTATGTAAACTTGTATGTAAACTGAGAGCTTATGCACCAGAGACAAATTCCTTGTGTATCCAATCACATTTGGCTGATAAAGAATTTATTCTATTCTGTTGCAGAAATAATAGAATTGCTCCCAGGTACATTACAAGGAGGCCAGTCCAGTGTAGAAAATTTTGCAAACGTGCAGTAGGCATGTGTGTAGGATTTCAAATCTGATTTCAAAACGGTGCTTTAGAATATTGTTTCTCAACTTCGGCAACTTTAAGAGATGTGGACTTCTACTCCCAGTATTGAGCTGGCTGGGGAGTTTGGGGAGTTGAAATCCACACATCTTAAAGTTGCCAAGATTGAAACACTCACTGTTGGGTCTCTGTGGGCACAGCTTTCACATCAAAAGATAGGAAAAATGTGGAGTATTGCTCTGGAGAAGGAGATGACCTCATTCAAGTCAAGATGATCTGGATATGCTGGATCCAGATATATATGATCTGGATAAACTACAGATACACAGAGCTAAGTCCTGGGCTTTGTGCTTTTTTAACCAATGACCTGAATAAGGAACTTGAAGAGACACTGAAAAACTTTATAGATGACACTAACTGGGAGGGCTGGCTGATGATGGCAGGGGAATTCTGGGAGTTGAAGTCCACGCATCTTAAGGATGCCAAGCTTGATAAATACTGTTTAGAGAACACAGTAGCATGAACATAATACTGTACCTGTCTGCACTTCTTTGAAGCAGCCCCACCTAAGGAGCTGCTTCCTTTATAACAGCAGATGGCAGCATCAAACCAACCTTTGCTGATCTCAGAAGGAAAAAAAAACTGCAAACTTGGTTAGTTTTGAATAGAGTGCCACTAAGAAATCCTAAGGTTCTAAGTAGACAAGGATTTTTTTTAAAAAAAAAAAAACGGAATACAATGGCAAACACAACCATTCTGTTGCTATGAAATGAATCTTCACCTGTATAATCTCCTTTTTCTTTTGAGTTCAACAAACCGTCCCGTTGTTTGTTCGAACCTTCTCCAGGCACAACAAGTATAGGAATGGTTTTTCTAATCTGCCAAGGAAAAAAAAATTGGAACATTTAGCAGGAACTAGAGAGCAAAATCTCCTGTCCCCCCTGTCTTCTGGTTTCTTATCAGAAAGATGAAAACTTTTGAGATTGCTTGAAAACAGTTTCCCAGCCAGCCATCTCTATTACTGCATTCATACCACCCAATAAATTTACCCCTTTTCTGAGTTTCCACAACCCATTAGCTCCTAAATTAACCAAACAGGTTGGTTTGCATGGCACCCTAAATAAAGAAACCAAGATGAAAAGTAGCCATTCTTAGCAAGTTTATACATATAACCACTAGGCTTTTAACTGATCTACTTAACTATATTGTGCAATGGCAAACAGCTTGGAGGTAAGTTTGAAGTGCCACCCAGTTGTTGGAGCCTTTGTCAACAGTGATGTCGTTTCTGACTGAAAGTTGATTAATTACACTTTGAAAATTAGGCTGCCTTGGAAGGAATGAAATGTGCAGATTCCTAAATGAGGATGTCAAGTGTCTTGTCTTTCTAGCAGCCAAATTCTTGCTGAAAAAACATCTGAAATCTCCTACTATGGATTCTTTATTTTTTGTGCATGGAAGTGTAACATTCCCACTACAGTTATGAGGCTCAGCTTTAATAGGAATGTCTGGAAGTGTGTATATGTGTGTGGAGGCAAGGGGAGTCTCCTATAGTATTTTTCCCAATGCAGTGCGTCAGTCAATCATGCTCCCCACCCACATCATGTGGCTGTGGTGCAGAAAAGTGTCAGGCCATCTGATAGCAAGGGTTGCAATTCCAAAGCATATATGCGCAGACAGAATTGTACCCGCCTGGATTGCATTCATTGTGAACATGTTTGCTTAGGTTACAGATAAGAAGCGTAATGTTTAAGATGCAATTTCCCTCTTTCTGACAATTTCAGAGTGCAAGTATTAGAAGTAAGGAAGGACAGCTTATACCAGTGTTTCTCACTGTGGCAACTTAAAAGTATGTGGACTTCAACTCCCGGAATTTTCAGCCAGCATGAGTTGAAGCCTATCCATCTTAAAATTGCCAAGGTTGAAAAACAGCAGTCTAAATAATGGAATCATACAATTATAGAGTAAGAAAGGACCCCTAAGATCTTCCTGTTCAATAGGAAAACCAATTCAAGAGTCCCAAAGTAGTGGCCTCTTCAACTTTTAAAAGCCTCCAGAGTTGAAAGACTGCATTGGTTGAAGAGTTCCAGTTTCTGCCTTGGTTAGCTTTTTAGATCAGTAAAACCTGGCAACTTAAGATGTTTGAACTTCAACTCCCAGAATTCCCTAGTGGAGCATGCTGGCTAGGGAATTCTGTCCATACATCTTAAAGTTGCGGGGTTTTAAAAATACTGTTTTAGACAAAGGAGCTTTTGAGTTGAGAGAAAGGTGAGTTGAGTTCATATAATACATTGTTGTTGTTAATTGCGAAGTCATGTCCGACCCATCGCGACCCCATGGACAACGTTCCTCCACGTCTTCCTGTCCTCTACCATACATTAGTCTAGGCTAAATTGAAGTTTAACATGTTGTGGGAAATCATCTATTACTTGTGGGTGAGGCAGGACATCAGGTGTATTTATGAGTTTATTTGCCAGGTATATATTCTGCCTTTTGTCTTGGAGCCCAGAATAACTTCCATGGGGCTCTCCTTTCACTTTCTCCTCCCAACAGTTTTGAAGAGTAGGCTGGGCCAGGAAATCTAAAAGGTGGGATCATATATATAAAAAAGCTGGACACCAATTGCACAATCATAGTTATAGTCCTAAGTGTTTTGACTCTTCCTGCAGATGCTCCTATTGGACTAAGAGAGAATAAGTGATCCAATGAATTTCTATGGGTAGACTTGAATTTGGATCTATCTCTCCTAGTCTAATATTTTAATCCTGGCATTATTTGTTTCTTTTGAAGACATCATATATATTTTTTTCTTTTGTTTCTATACCACGTTCACAAATGCATATGCCTTTTATAAAAATGTGTTGGTTGGAAAAGGTACTACCATCCTCCTGATTTTTTTCCACCATAAACTAAAATGCCGTTCCTTCTACAATTTTGACAGCTAGGGGTACCCACCGGATTATGGGTCAGGTCGAGGAGACAGAATGAGGAGAAAATGCCCAATGAGCTGTCTTGAGCTCCCAGAGAAAAGTCGAAAGTTTTGAAGAACTTTAATGCAAGAGGCTTTGATGTGCTGGAATCATGTTGTGGCTTTGACATCTTGCAGCATGGCTGAAATTGGCTTAGATTGAGCAGAGAAGAAAAACACAGTCCCTGTACATGCTCAGAGGCAATTTCTCAATCATCAGTCCTGCCATTTTTTTCCCCTTTTCTTGTTTTTTTAACCAGAGTTATGTGCTCTGGCATTCATTCAGATCCACTGAGCTTCTCCCTAATCCAGCTATTGTGAGACTTCTTGGCTAATGTGAATTCTGTTGGCTGCCAAAACAAACAAACAAGCAAATAATAACACGCCCTTAGGATTAGAAGCTTCTTCAATGTGTCCTTTTCCTCCTGTAACCCAGTATGAACAGGAAAGATTTTTACCCCATTCTAATAGCATACATAATTATTGTTTCCTTCTGTATAGCTTTTGGCATCATTCCCTTTTCCTAGCAAATAAACCCATTTAGTTTTTCTAAAGTCAGCCCATGTTAGAAAACTGGGGAAACCAAGTCAGATTGCTTTGTACCAGACAGCTTGGAAACAGGCAGGCCAAGAGCAAGAAAAAAGGAGTGGGCAGATACCAGCGGTATGGTAAAAATATAAAAAAATCAAGATGGCAGCCATAAAGATTCTGCCATTTGTGTGGGTGCTGCATGTAACATATGTGGTTACCATCTTGACTTTATTTTTATCATAAACTGAGGACATACCTGGCAGGTACTATCTGTGTTGAACAAGGTCTTGTCAAAACAGTATTGTGGTGCACACAATGATGTGTGTAGGAAATGTTGAAAGTGTTTGTCAACGTCCTTGAAACACTGTTCTGGGTTTCTGGTGGCATCCTGAAAAGTCCCCCTGAAATAACCTTCACTTGAATAAGCAGGGAGGGGTGGAAGAGCTGGCTTTGGAGTCTGGAGAACCCATGCGTGATCAATGGACCGCCTTACCTACAAGGAATAATAGCAATGGAAGCTGCCAGTAGGTAGGGCATGGAACCCCACAGTGCAAGAAAGAGTTCATGGATACTTTGAGGACCCAGGAATCAGTCACGCTCACCAGGACAACATTTTTGTGAGAGTGCTTATAACACCTTCAAAATTCCAAATGTGCCCATAGTCTCTAGAAATATATCCCTGGTCCAACAGGGATCTCCTGAGATTTTAATAATAGATCCCAGGGGCAGTACAAAATATTGTAGATCAGTGTAGCTCTACAATATTTTGGTCCCAAAAGATATGGAAAACATTTGGTCCCAAAAGATATGGACCACACTGATCTACAATATTTTGGTCCCAAAAGATATGGAAAACATTTGGTCCCAAAAGATATGGACAACACTGATCTACAATATTTTGTACTGCCCCTTGATATCTATTATCAAAATCTCAGAAGATCCCTGTTGGATTAGGGATATATTTCTAGAGACTATATTTCTCATAGTCATTGATCTGATGCCTCCAGGAAGGCCCTCAATAGAACTTTCTATTGCTGGATACCCAGCTTCTTCTCAGCTGGATGCCCAGAAACAATGCTGCCCATAATCATGGCATTTCACTATGTATGTCCATATATAATCTTCTCTTCCTCCATAAATTGGCTCAGTCCCCTTTTTCTAAGCAAGCAAGCAAGCAGTCAACACTGGATCTTGTGACACTAGGTTCCAAATAGAATCCTTCATATAGAGACACGATGACCTTGGGAACTTGTGATCTCTTGCATTCAAAACATATGCTTAATCATTGGACTATAGTCAATATGAACCAACTTGGCTTCCCAGGCAAAGAAGCCACATCAGCAAATTCCCTTTTAGAAAGCATTTAAAATGTCATCTTCTCAACACTGTGATATAAATTAAATCCTACTAAATTATGATTTCTTCATTTCTGTCAATTCACACAGAATTCTGATGCCGGCACTGCTTTCCTCCAAGAGACATCATAATATTGTGCTCCCCATTAATTTGGAAGTTCTCCCTCCCTTCTTCTTCTGGGCTGGGGAAGTACACTCTAAATGCCCTTCTTTGGCAGCAAAGCTCAATTTTTCTTGTTTACGGCACCAGACTGAATATTTTTTGATCTAATCAAACAGATTTGCTTAGTGCCTTCCAAACGTTGACATTCTTTCTGAAAACAATGGCAGTGGGCCAGTGAATTTGCTGCCAGTGCTGGAAAAGGCATCGCTTTCTGGCATCAGAAGTCAATAAAATAAAGGGCTTCTTAGGTGGTAGGGAAGGAAATCCATATCCTTGGAAAGGAGGGCTCCTAAAATCCTCAAATGCACCATGTCTTCCTCCCAACATACAGTATCTATTTTGTCGAGAAGAAGGTAGATATTTTTGGCTGTTGTCCTAGGTGCCTCCACTACCCAGAGAACATTGGGTGATATGAGAAGAAGCAGGACCGAGATGGTGATGGCACCCAGATTGTGGACTTCTCTGCCAAACTTTTGTTTGTCACAAGTTTTCTTTAACAAAGCAGACCACAAAATGTGTCAATTTATGCTAAGAGTACATACAAACACATTTCAGTCACCACAAGTGTAATTAATATGTCTTGCCTACTTTTTAGAACTTGTAGGGACACTCCTTTTGAATGTGTTCTTCTGAGCATATGCAAAATATATTTCAGTCACCTAGCGAGTCTCATATATCAGGGTCTCCCTAGTCCTACCATCTCCTTAAACACTTTTATGACAGCTTTTAATCATTTTTTTACTTTCAGGGAACCTTTTTACTCCCAGTGGTTGCTCAGAATGTTAAAGCTCTACGGAGGGCTTCAGTGGTTTCATTATATACGTACCGGTATATTAATTTTGTATTGTTTTACTTTAGAAATTCAGAACTGTTTGGTCCTTTTTCAGCAGCATCTACTTTGCTGACTTCTTTTCTGAGAAGTCAACATCTTAGTTTTCAACTGAATCCCTCAAAACTTGAATTTACACATCTGAGAACTGGAATAATTCTTTCCCATCATTAAATCATAAGCTGCACAAGGCAGGGATCTATTTTAATCAGAGTTGTGCTCAATCGTCACTGTTTATTTTTTAAAAAACAGGCATACGGTATTGTCGTTTTTTCTTTTATGCTCTTTCCAGCAACTTGGTCAGAGGGTGGACAAATGTTATTATATCTGGGCAAGGAGGCCTTGGGTGGATTGCCCAGACTAATGTGTTGAGTGGGACAGGCCAGAAGTCTCCAAACTGAAACTTCTGGATCCCAGGGCCTCACCATGGCTGGTTTGCAAAGGGCATATGGGCATATGGGTTCTCCCTTCTAACAGAGGCTGCAGGACCTTGACCTATCTGGAATCCTGCCTCCTGTCTGGCTGAGCACCGGTCCAGGTGTCGCTGTGTCTGAACACAACCAAATCTGACCAGTTGGCTCCAGAGAACAAACTCTTTGCAGATAAATTATCGGGACTCTCCCGCTTCATCTTCCCGGCGCCTCCCTTTCTTTCTTTGTCTCTTAGTGGGGACCCCCAGCCCCGCTCGCCTGTCCCTGCTCTCTCTCTCTCTCCCCCCGATGCCTGCGGAGTGGAAGAAGCGTCCCAAGCCGAAGGAGCCCTCCCGCCCAGCGACTTGCCGCCCGGCCGCTCCCGCCCGACACCTGACCTCCGGCCTCGGGGGTCTCTTCTCCGGCCTCGGGGTGGGGCGCGGGACCCGAGGGGTGCGTTGTTCTACCAAGCTGGAGGAAGTTCAGTCCCGCTCTTTCCTCTTCGCTAAAGTCTCCTTGGCAGCCGCGCTCGCTGTTGGCAAGGGATGCGCCGATCTGGAGCGGAGCAGCGCGAGAGAAAAATTGCAAAGGGAAGCCAGCCCGAGCAGTTGGAGAGACTCGTGGCTTTGCCCTTTCCCAATGACGTAGTGTCCTGAGCCCTTCCCCTCCCCTCCCCGCCCGCCCCCCCCCCGCCTTTCCCCTTACATCTTTGGAAGCCACAATTAAGCAGCACCGCTGGGATAAAACGCTCGGGCTGCCAGCGGACTAGGGCATTGCATCGAGAGATGGCCAGGCTGCGGACTTCGTTCCTCCTCCCTGGAGTCCTCGTTCTCCTGCTTTCCAGCCTCCCGGTTTCGTGGCAAGGAGGTAAGAGAAGCACCTCCGGGCAGGCTGCGCCGGCTTCAGCTCTGTCCAGCCGCCGCTGAGGTGCTTTCCTCCTGAAAGCCGGGCTCGGCCGTCTGCCCCCTGGCTGCGGAGCCTTCTGGTCGCCTCCGTCCAGCTCCAGCTTTGGGGACGCCGGGAAGCCCCGGGCTCTCCTTCCCCGCCCCACTCTAGGCAAAGCTTCTCCACTCCTTTTGTAGAAGGGAAGGGGCGAGGACCCCGCTGCTGCAGGTCACCGTTGGCAGGAGAGGGCAGGGTGGGTGTCTTCCGAGCCCCCTTTCCTGGTCGGTCTCTGGGGTCTCCGAAACCCAGGGCTTCTAAGAGAGGCGCTGATGTTGCATTTTCAAAAAATAAAAAGCTGCGTGAACCAGGATGATTTGGAAGGAAGGGCGGAGGTGGGGGAGGAAGGTGGGATGTGAAGACATAAATCCAGAGTGCTCTAGGACGACCAGAGCTCACGTGGATCCCTAGAAGTGTTTCCAAATGCTGCACTTAACTCTGGATCCTGCAAGCAGGTACTGAAAGAGAATCAGAGCATCTCTGAAGGTGTGGCAGATTCCTGAAGCAGACACAGAATCTGCAGACCCAGTTGGAGGGTTCGTTCTGAACCCCAGCATTTCCTCGGCTCCTTTTATTGTAGAGTGGAATTACAAGGTCTCATTCACTGGTAGGAAGCCTCACCTGCGGGGCTCGTGCAAGGCGTGTGGGTCCCTCTCAGTATAAGTGACAGCCAAAATTCTACATCACTCTCCATGTAGGAACACAGAAAGATTACCCCATTACCCCATTTCAGGGACAAAGACAAATGTTGGCGGTACAGGTTCCAGAGAGTCATCTTGTGCCAACCCGGCTCCACCTCTTGGATTTTGCATCCCTCCATGGGGCTGTTTGGCGAACCATCTGCCCTCTTAATGATATTCCCCTTGTTTAGGAACCTCACTCTTCTGCTGAATATTCTGACTCCTTGTAACTGATCTGTTTTCTTGGAGCAAATCAGTTCCATAGATTTAGGATGTAGCTGGTGATACTGAGGATGAAGTAAACCTTGAGATTTTTCTATACACATGCCCCCCTAAGGTATATTTTTTCCTTCTTTCTCCTCTGTGCCCAACCTGTTTTCTTTGGAATTGTCAGCACTCCAGACAGAATATGTAGTGATCTGAAAGTCTTTTTATAAGTAATTTTTTAGCACACACACACACACACACATCTTTACTGTATAGGGAAAATCTGCTGGATGGGTTTTGAACTATCATAGATATGATGAGAAGCAATTCTCCTAGAAAGTTAGCTATAGACCCCAATGGGAAGACTTAGCATTTGATATAGCTTGTTCTTTTCAGCTTCATGAAAAACTTGCCTAGGTAGGCAGTGAATGATGCTTTATGGCACCTACAGCAGATGCCTGCCTGGATCTCTTTTATAAGCTGTGTTACCCAATTTGAGAGGCACACCCAAGATCTCTTGAATTGCTGCCCTGAAGGATTCTAAGGGCAATACACTGATCCAACATCTTTTCTGCATCTTCACAAAAGGAGTTGTTGGTACACCTAGTAGGCTGCAGTGTGAGGATGATACCTTCTGCTTTTTGAGCAGATCAACTTGTCTCCATAATCTCTTTAGTCTGGTTTGAGTTCTTTTTTAAAAAGTCTGTTGGATCATTCCAGCAATGATCTCTCTAGTATTCAGTTGACTGCTTCTGTGTTCAGCAGTGGCCAACTAAACACTTTCAGGAAACCTACAAGCAGCGCACAAGTGCTGCACCTCTGCTTGTCTGTTCTTAGCACCCAGAAGTACACTACACCAAGCTGGCAGGTTCCACTTAGGCATCATAGCTCATGCCTGTTGATAATCCTCTGTACCCCACCCATAACTTGGTGTATTTTTTTTAATGTTGTCCGATCCGTGCTGTAGTGTATCCATCCCACTCTCATCCATCCTCACCCTCCATTGCTTTGCAAAGTCTGATCTAAAATTCTTTCTTTTTCGTCTTGCCAACTCTTTGCATGATAAAAGGGAGACATGAATGACCCTAAAGCATACCTATGCTAAAGAATGATTTCTGTTCATTGCTTTCAACTGGGGGGGGGGGTAGGCAGTGTCTATCTCGCTGTTGTAACTGAGAGAGCAGGGAAACTGGCTTGTTGGCATCTTGTACACATTGTAATGGGGTTACTTCGGGAGAATGTCTGGGTGAATAATGTCCTTTCCACGCTGGGCTTTCAAACTATATTGTGGGCATAGCTATGTGTATACAACAGCTTTAGGCACAGGAGCTATGAAGATCAGTTCAGTAGGGCTTATTCTTGGCTAAACTGCAATAGAAGTAAAAAAAATAAAGAAAAAAAATACAAGGTCTCACTCTTGCTGGAATACAAGAGTGTTGGCCAAGAATTTTTTTCAAGAAACATTTATTATAGGAGACAAGGAAGTCAGAAATCCACAGAAATATGTCCCCCAAGCTCTGTCCAGGTTTGAGAGCATATTCTGAAGAATTATATATGAGTTATTTCCTTCTACAAACTTTATACTATGTAGGAAAAAATGTTCCAAGAGAGGGGGGGGGCTGTCTGGGAGTTTTGACTTTTTGGAAAGAGGGAACCATAGTAAATGAGAAGATAAAATTTCTCCTGAATTTTACTGGTGTCTACATATATATGACTATGTAGTTTTCTTGGCAATAATATGGAATTAGTTTGCAATTGCCTTCTTACAGAAGACTTTTCCACTTTCCTCTCAGCTCAGTAACCCTGGTGGTCTTCCATTCAGATACTAATCAGATCTGACCCTGGCTTTTTCAAGATCAGCTGGGTAAAGCCACCTGTTGTAAATACTCTTTTGCTGACGCCAAAACTGGCTTCAGACAACCAGAACCACTCTCTCAACCCCTCTCTCCCCCTGCTTAGGCTTCTATTCTGCTCTGACTGACCAGAGCAGAGCTGACTTTTTTCTTCTTTGACTGTGTCCAAGTGCTATGAATTCCTAAGAGGCTTGTAAATTCTTTGCTAAGAACTAACACAGGACAGTTTTCATGCTATTTGTGGATTAATTTAGATTACCCTTGAAAGGGAAAGTTGAAGAGGGAGCTGGGAATTTATACCTAAGTTGCATTTTCAAGTTGTAGCAATAGCAGATAAAAGAACCTGGATTCATATGCGCGCACACACACACACACACTTTTCCTATCCCATCAAAGCATTTTTGCATTTCTGTTAACATGCCACTGTGTTGTAGAGCAGCAATGCAATCTGGACAGGGATCCCTGATGGTTTGTGTTTGTAAAAAAGAATGTAACAGAAGAACAGCTTATAAATCTGCAGGTACCCTTGCTCGAAAAATTCCCTTAAAAAGCAATCCCTTGCAAGCCAATTTTTTTGTGTATTTCCCTAGAAACAACTCCCACTTGGTTAAATTGGACTTACTCCCAAGTAAGCATGCAACAGATTGCAGAGCATGGTTGTAGAATAACAGGATGCATACCACATTTGGCAGCCCTTCAAATTTGGGTCTACTTACCCAAGATTCCAAAGAATACAATTATTACATTATTGTTAAAGTATCTCAAATGTAGGACCTGTAAGAGAAAGAAAAATCTCCCTCGAGAGGAGCAAAATTCTTGCTGGCTCTATGGACACATCCATGCAATTTTGTTGGTGGTGGTAGAGAAGTGCTTTGGTGTCACTTTCTTCCAGAACAGGTCTTTGCAATCCAACTGCCTCTCTGTGAATTTCTGGTGGTCTCATATTCAAAGAGTAGCCAGGTTCAACTGAGGTTAGCTTTTTCAAGATGAACCAAGTCATCCAGGTGGTAGCATCTGTTGTGACATAAACCATGCACAAAACCTTGGAATGCAATAGGTCTGCTTTCAGGCTAACAAGCTACAAAGTGGTTAGGAGTGTTTGTGTGTGTGCTAGGGGGAAATTAATAGAGGCAGAAATCAGGAGTTGTTGCTTCATCTCTATCCATTCATGGTTTCTTTTGATGACATCACTTGATCCCACTTATCCAGGTATTTTTCCTTCTCATTGGTTTTCTGGAGCCACGTTCAGAAAATGTAGAAAGTAGATCCAAAAAAGGAAGGCTTATGGGTGGAAAGCGACAGAAGGGGAAGGTTTCAGAAGGTTTTTTTTTTTTAATTCTGTTTTATTTTCCTGTGTTGGAACTTGCTTTTTCTGGAAGTCTAGTTTCATCCTCAACACAATATTGTGCTTTAAAGCCTTAACTTCTCAGTGCTTAATATTGCTGAAATACAAACATCTTGAGAAATAATATGCTGCCAAAGACTTATAAGAATGCAAAAAGAATTCAGAATATATCTACTGAGTGATGAATAGGAGAAAGAGAAGGTCAAATAGAAAGAGAAGGAGGATAAATAGAAGAAGAAGGAGAAAAAACCCTAGTGTTTCTTTGTCCCAGGGTTTGCTTTTCTCTCAGCAAAATATTGGCTGGGCTCACAGATTCTGTTTAAGTTGTAAGTGTGCATGGATGGAGGGTGGGTGGGATGAAAGAAATTAAGAGGGCAACCAGGACTGCATGATTGAAGCTTCTCCCCCCCCTTTTTTTACATGGGGGGGGGGATCTGATTGTTTGCCAAATAAAACACAATGTTCACACATTATCCTATCCCGGAAAGACCAGCTGAGCAACCTTCCTGCCACTTGAGGGAGCCCTTCTTTTAAACCTGAATCTCAGCAGCCCAGAGAATTGGTTTCTATTATTTATTATTATTAATAATTTACACGTGTGAAGCACACTAGAAGCTTCACTTATTCTACTGCTTATTTTCTCATTTAAAATTGGAACATTGTACTACTGTAGCACAGCACTTTTCAGTGGTACAGTCTTGAAGAATTTGGGGTCAGGGGGGAAAAGGGTATGGAGGGTGCATAGAGGTGTTAATTACACACCCTTACCATGAAACATAGATCACAGCCTGCAATTCCTCCAACTTCTGAGGCCACCCATCGAGTTAAACCAAAGAAACC